CTCCTGGGCTCAAGCAATCCTTCTGCCTCAGCCTCCCAGAGTGCTAGGATTACAGGCGTGAGCCACCATGCCTGGCCTAGAAATAAGCTTTTTAATATGTAATTATTATATATGAAGAAAGTCTCAACAACTGTACAGATACATATAAAAGGAAATGTAAATAAATGAAATTATGTATTTTATTTCCCTACTAAAGCAAGATTTTTTCTAAATTAATCATCAGTACTCTCCAGCCAAAGACCACCAGGAACACATCTATCATTGAACAAATTGGGTTTATTATTATTGCACTACGGGGCATGTGAGTAAGAGAGTGTTAGGACTTACATAGGATTTGTGCTTGTGCTGGGTGATTTGGGGGTTTGAGGAAGCAAGGTTTCTCTCTGGATTGGATGTTGTCAGAATGCGGGTATTTCTATGATGGACTATCTTAACAACTCTTACCTAGGAGAGAAGACTATATGGAGGCTAATGCTGTAATTGGTAAAGAAACAACAGTCACTATATTAGCCAAGAAAGAGGGATGTTTCATCACCTTTGTGATTTGGAGAACGCTCATGTTTTGCTGGTGTCCAGACAAGATAACGGAGTGGTTTTGTTTTTGCCTCGCTCCCTTACAGTCAGAGAGTGACCTTGTCCAATGTTGATGTTCTGTGAAATTGTTTATGTTCACCAGATAGGCCAGCTCCTGGATGTCCAGGGATGCTTTTCTTTTTCTCAAATGTATAAATTAAATGCAATATTAATCCCAATTTCCAGTTTTGCATGCATTTGTTTTATGGGAGAATCTGACAAAGCATATCTGAGTTTAGTATCTGACCAAATAAACATTAGAGAACAGTTAAGAAACCAAGAGACACTCTGGAAGGCTGAGCGGGTAGGATTGCTTGAGCTCAGGAGAGACCAGTGTCAGCAAGAGGCGAGACCCCGTTGCTACTAAAAATAGAAAAATTAGTGGAGCGTCGTGGCATGCACCCTGTAGTCCCAGCTACTCCGGAGGCTGAGGCAGGAGGACCGCTTGAGCCTCGGTCTCAAAAAATAAAAATGAAAAAGAAAGAAAAGAAAAGAAAGAGGAAGGAAGGAAGGAAGGGGGAAGGGAGAGAGAAAAGGAAATAAAGGAAGAAAGAAAAACCAAAACAGAGAGAGAATTGCGAGATCTAAAAGACATAAAATGTTGATAAGTTACAAAAAATAAGTCTTTGTACAGCAAAAATCACCTATACCCAGGTTCACAAGGCAAACCACAAACGGATAAAATATTTTCAATGCATTTGATGCCTCTAATAAACTAAAACTAAATAACTTATCTACCAACCCAATATAAAAAGCGTCCTTTTTGATTTTTTTTACGAGTATGTACCATTAAAAAAAAATTATGCTGAGACATGAGAATCTCTTGAGCCCAGGAACTTGAGGCTGCTGTGAGCTAGGCTAAAGCAAGGGCATTCTAACCTGGGCAACAGAGCGAGACTCTGTAAAAAAAAAAAAAAAAAAAAAAAAAAGTATAAAATATTTTTAAAAATAAAAAGTAAAGGAAAAACCTTGGACTTGAACGCAGGAAAGCGCCTTGGGGAGAGACTCCGTTTCCCAGGGGGCTCCGCGAGCCCTATGCCCCGCCTCCCGGGAGGCCTTGCGCGCTTTCCGCGCCAGCTTCGGCCTTAGCCCGCGAGCGGCAGGATCGCGGCGGAGGGAGTATGGAGAGCAGCGACGAGGCGGCCAGCGAGAACCACCGCGTCCACTTGCGTCCCGTCACGCTGCGCGACGCCGCCCCCGCTGCGCTGCACCTGCTGCCCTGTGAGGTGCTGGTGAGCCAGTCGGCCCCCGTGGGGCGCTACTTCACGCCCGCCATCCGCCAGGGTCCCGACGGTGAGCGTCGCGGCCGGACTACGAATCCCGGCAGCCCCCGCGCCGCCCCCGCGTTCCTCGGTGCCGGGCTTCTGGGGATCGCGGTCCACCTGGAGGTGGCGGGAGGGCCGCCCCGGACTCGCCCCGCTGGGCTTGGGCCCTAGGGCCGGGGTCGGTCCCTGACCGAGGCTCTGCACCTCCCTCTCCAGGACTCGAAGTATCGTTTCGGGGCCGCAGTCTACGGGGCGAGGAAGTGGCGGTGCCGCCCGGCCTCCTGGGATACGTGATGGAGAACGAAGAGAAGTTGATAGGGAAGGAGGACTTCTCGGGGGGTTTGGAAAATGACAATCAGGAAGAGGAGCGAGAGCCGCTGGAGCGGGACTTTGTGAGCAAAGGGATAGGATTGGAAGCGGGTGCGGGCGGGAGCTGCGGTCCCGAAGCTGAGCCAGGCCCCTTCCCCAGGACCGCTCTATCAGAGCCACCGCCAGTTTCAGCCACTTCACTCTGTGGGGCCTGGAGACCATCCCTGGCCCGGATGCCAAAGTGCGCGGAGCCCTAACTTGGCCCAGCCTCGCTGCAGCGGTGAGTAGAGGGATGCGCTACCCCTGAATCTTGCCCATGAGCGGATTTGGAGCATTAGAGCCAGGGAAACACTGCGGGGCAGATGGAGCCTGGGCTGACTGCAGGATTCTTCTGGGTAGCGGGGAAGAGTGGCTTCCCTACTACTTTTCTCTGGCCTGTCTAGAAAGAGTTATCATTTCCTGAGCAACTGGGTCCCTCCCCAGGTATGTAGACCACCCATCCACTATAGCTTAGAAATCCAACAGTAGAGGTGACCCCTGTTGCAGATTCACGCACAGGTGCCAGAAGACTGAGAGCCAGAGCTTGACATTGAAAGCCATCGCTACCTTCACAGCAATAAACCAGCTCTTCACTTTGGAGCCAGAGTCCATCACTCCAATAAACAAGCTCTTCACAGCACCTGTGAGTCTGTGGGTGCCTTGGAGCCCTAAGTCAGCATGGCCCCCTTTCCCACAAGAACTTTTCATGGGTCTGGCCTATAGAAACAATTTATTGCCAGGGGCAATGGAGTAAGAGAGGCCAGAATTTTGCAGCCAGTACCCACCCCACCCCCAACTCCTACTTTACAAAAGAAATTTTTACAATCACCAGCCTTCTGTACAGAGTACCCCCACCCCCCACCTCACTGTACACAGCTGCCTGGCTCCCTTTGGTCCCTGGTTCAGAGCAGGCCTGGGCCTGCAGCCAGCTGACCCTGGAGTTGGCCTGAGCCCTGAGCTCGCCTTGGTGCTGGGTATCACCGGGCCCCTGCCAGGCCTGTCCCCTCGTTTCAGAGCTGTCCTCAGCCCCATCTTCCTTGGTGTGCCTCTCAGGAGCCCCAGTGGGGCAACCCCCATGGGCATCAGCTCCAGTCCTGCCAGCTGTCTTGTCACTGTGGTGGGCAGTGCCTGGTCACCACTTTCCCCTCTTGCTCCAGTCCTTGGGAGTGAAGTGCAGACACTTGGAGTCAATCCGAAGGAGCCGCTTGAGCATGGCCCGCTCATGCCCGTCCACGATGTCCTCTGACAGTGTGAGGATATACTGGCCCTGGTTGGGAGCAGCAGCAGGTGGTCAGCCCAAGTGGTGCCTGCACTCTGCCCCACACATCTGTCTCCCCTGCCCACCTACCTACCTTGTAGTAGTTGATGAGGTTGAGGTATTGCAGGGTGGAGATGACATCCTCCTTCTTGATGCTGGTGATTTCACTGATCTCGCTGTGGGAGGGCAAAGATCAGGTCCCCTGAGGGCCTTCATCTGTCCCCAGGAGCCCCAAGAGGGAATGAAAAAGCCCAGCGACAAGGCCATGCCATGCACCCCCAGGTAGGTGGGGCCAGGCTCACTTGATGGTAATCTGTGGCCTCTCCCCGCTTTCCGACTTCAGCCCCATCAGGATCTCCAGGATGGTCTGGGACCAGTAGCTTCGATAGGATAGGAGGCCAAGGTCTGAGAGGGGCTTCTCGGGGGTCCCTGTTTTCCCTTCCACTTTGGAGAGTTCATAGCCTAAAACAATGGAGCAGGAGAGGGTGGTTAAGTGGTCACAGATGGACACAGCAACGTTTAAAACCACAGGTTGCAGAGAAAGTAGGCTTACTAGTTCCCACCCTGCCCCTGCCACTTGGTAGTTCTGTGACCTTGGGTATGTGGCTTCTCTGCGCCTCAGTTTCTTCATAAAGGTCTAACAAGTATTCACTTTTCACCTGTGTGCTGAGGGCACAGAGAGGAGCAGCTGCAGTCAACGACAGCGGGGTGCTGAGGAGGCACTGAAGGCTTCCAGGCAGCGGGAATGCAGAGAAAATGGCTCATGGAAAAAAGTGCCGCCGCTTTTCCTCTGCCATCCCAGGCTCTGTCTGGGTGTGTGAGAAGGGAAGTGAGGCAGACCCCCATCCTTGGTCCAGGCCTGAGGATGCTTGAATTTTCTCAGTCAGATCAGTTCCCCTAGCTGTGACCTTGGAGTGTCGGCTACTCGTAAGACCAGGGTGGCCTGACTAGGTGGCTGTGAGGATGCGAGGAGAGAAGGTGCTTCCCAAGTCAGAGGGAGGCCATCCCTCAGAGCCAAGCAGCTGACCTCTACAGCGGCTTTTTCTCTCCTATGTGTGCTGACAGCTGGGCACTGGCAGGCAACTCCTGGCAAGATCCTCAGGCCCCCGCAAACCCCGCAGCAGCTTCACATCTCTTTAGCAGGTCTTTATTCTCCCGTCAGGGGCATCTCTGCCACTTTTAGAAGCCTTTTCTCACCCACAGTCATAACCAGCCTCATAATGGACCTTACCCCTTTCTGTTTTCCTGCCTTTGGTACAGCTTTACTGGCCAGTCTTACCTTCTTGCCCAATCTCCTGTGACTTCCACCAAACAACCCAGTGGTGAGAGGGACAGAGAGACTGGTGTTTGGGGAGAGGAAGCACAGAAGGAGTGGGGCAAGCTTGGGTCCCTATTTAACTTTGCTGGGGCCACACTGCATGTAGAGACCTAACAGGTCAACTGGAGGCCACACACCACTTCCTCAGCTACAGGGACTCCTGGCCCCTCCCCAGTGAACACCCACCCACCCTCTGAGCTGCCTGGAATGGTGCTTCAGGTGCCCTGCTGGACCCTGCTCAGCAGAACTGAACATACCTCCTGGGTGGCACTATCCACACCCCATCTCCACTGAGGGCTAACCTCCAAGACTGAGTTTAAGCATCACCTACTCTACCAGGCTGAGAACTTCTGAGGATGTGACCCATCTGGGTAACATTTGACCAATAAAATTTCTCAAATGGACCATGATCTTCATCAAGTCAAGCCTCTGTGTTTTCACCAGGCAAACAGCTAAAGCTTCCTCCCGTCTCCCTGGTCAGAGCTTGGTTATTCCAAGGGTTCGGTGAGTAGAGAGGGGGATGGGAGGATAAAAAGCAAGAAAGCAGAAGGGAGCCTCAGGGTCAGGAGGGAACTGAAGAGACCTGACTAAACACAAGAGCAGGGGACAAATCCATGCTTACATCTGTTTGTCAACAGCACTCTGAACATCCACTGCCTACAAGGCTCAGGGAACAAGTGGGGAAATTAACCACTGGTCCTTGCCCAAGGACTTGTATTGTGGCACACAGTACCAGACAGATGAGCAATTGGCTTGTTAAGCTCCTGCCTGTGGCCCTGGCAGAACAGATGGGTCGGATTTACGAAAAGTTGGGTATCAATGTGGGGCTAAGAACCTGCCCCACACAAGCCAGGACAGTCACCCTGAGAAGAGAGAGAACCTTGGTGGAGTGCCACCTTTATTTCTGGCTGGCTACCCTGGTGACCAGGCTGCACAGCCACGTTTGAGATTCTCTGCACAAGAGGCACCAGTAGTGGGTGCACTACCCACCAGCTGGGCAGCACACATACTCACTGAACTCAATCAGCAGCTTGCCATAGCCCCGGCGCTGGTAGGGAGGCAGGGTTAGGATGCAGGCCACGTTGTAGTCTTCTGTTGATTCCTTCTCCTGGAACAGAGGAACAGGTGAGCGTGAGGGAAGGGACCTGGCTCAGGGCAGAGCCAAGGGACAGCCTGGGTGAGCACTGACCTTGGAGAAGTAGCCCACAATGTGGAAGCCCTTGCAGTCGTACTCCGTCATGACGTAGAAGAGGAAGGGGTCTGTGTCATAGTATAAGGTCTTGTGGTCGAGGAAACACTTAGCCAAAAGACACAAATTCTGGGAGTAACTCTGCAAGGGAAAAGGACTATAACCACTCTGGGTACTGGCCCTGAGCACAGCCAGTGGTCCAGGGTCAGCCAGGAGCTTCTCTGTGCTGTGCCCCAGGCTGACAGGCGAGGAGCATTCCTCCCTGGGGCCTTACCCATTCCACCAGTCAGGCTGTCCCCACCACTTAGGCAGGGCCACTCCTTAGTGTTGAGGAACCTGTGTACCAGCTCCATGATGGTGTTCTTGATCACCTGCCTCCCTGGTGAGCTGGGCAGGGTCACCCCCGCTGCTTCCCCTAACTCCATCCAAACCTGGGTGGGGGTCTCTACTGCCCTCTGCTGTATTTAACAACAAATTGACGTGGCTCCATGAAGCCAGACACTCCAACACCAAGGCTCCTGAGAGCAATCCCCTGTTTGACAGTCTTCGGAGTTGGGCTGTCAAAAACCTAATACTCTGTACCCACAGTCACACCTCCTGGGAACTTATTTACTATTCTAAGACAGAGGTAAGGAATTCTAGAATTTAACAAAATAACAGCTTCAGGGGTTCCTCTAGCAAAATTGCGGATCTTGCTGGTTTACTTTGGCATACAATTTATCTTGCATTTCAGACATGGCTTTTTAACTACCTACTGGGTACTGCCACTTGGATGCCCAGGTCCACACTTCGTATAAAATGAACAGTGGTTAATGGAGCATCCTCATCACCTGACCTTGGTCCCTTGTAAGAGCATTCCCTCTTCCTCTTTTTCTGCCTCTCGCCCAGAATGATCTTCACATCATCTCTGTACATCAGTGCCTGCCCCTCAGAACCCCACTGCTTGGAATTCCCTTAGCCATGAAATTTCCTCAGCCACTTCATCCTCCATGTCAAGGCTCAAAGATTACCTCCTTTGGGTCCTGCTCACCCAACCTGTTTCACCCTGGGATCTAAGTGGCCACTTGCATGTCTATCTCCCCCGTGGACCGTAAGCTGTCTGAGAACAGAAATTATGTCTAATTTCTGGTCATCTGTGTGCCCTCTAGCACCTGACCTACAGGAGGAACCCAATAAAAACAGGCTGAACTGATCTCTTAGCCTGACTGGTCAGTGTTTCCCTGAGCAGGAAGAAACTGCTCATCTGACTTACTCCAGGGCCCCACTGCCCCTCAGCTACTAACCTTGTTCTTACGTCCATCAATCTCAAAAAAAGAGATGGTTCCCTTGCGGTAAATCTCGTTGCCTGGGGGATGTCGCAGGTCACACTTGGTCTGAGGAAGAGAGGAGGATCAGGGAAAAGGGCAGGGTCGGGGGTGGTGGGAGGGCAGCCTCCCTGGACCCCTCATACCAAGTGACGCTGAAGACATTTGAGGCTACGGCCGTACTTGAGGCAGAACTCGCACAGGTAGAGCACGGGCAACGTAGTGAGCTCCTGTGGGTACGGGGAGAAGTACCACGGCTTGAGGCGGTGCCGGCCCAGTTCAATGCACTCAATGTTCTTCATCCGGGTGACAATGTCGTCGTGGCTCCGGTCCGATACCAGGCTGCCGGTCATGCGTGGTGCTGATGGTATTCCATCTGAGCTATCCTGGGAGTCCTGGCCAGTAGAAGACACTAGGTTAGAGGAGACAGCTCAGCAGGACACTAGAGCTCACAGTCCCTTGACAAGTTTCTTTCTTCAAGCCTAACAGCAACCCAATAGGGGAGGTACCATAATCCCCCTTTTCCCGATTAAAAAAACTGAAACTTTGAGGGATAACTTGGAAAAGATCA